CTCCGTCTGCAAGACAGCTTTCCTCAGGCCCATCCAGTCCTGCCATAGCTGCAGGATCTATCAGCAGGGTCATTATGCAGCCGCATCATTCTCTAGACAGTCCCTTCTCCCCTGAAGGACCTCAGCTCTCCCTGAAGACTGTCTCTGGAAGCTCCCCACTATCTAGAAAAGCCGAGCCTGCACACTCACGAGTGCGGATGTGTTGGCTGATATGAGCCACTGGGCAGGGGGAATCATCTGCTATGAGGCAGGGCATCAATCACTGACCTCTAGACACAGACAACAGGTGAGGGAGCTGTCATCAGCACACTTGAGACAGGGTCAGGGGAAACAAGGACACACTTGCAGGAATCTGAGAAAGGAAGATGCAGGAAGGGATGGGGAAATGGCTGGTAGACCGTACCTTGCAATAACCTGGAAGGCAGAACATGTACCAGGAGGTCATCACAGAGTTGCCCTCGCAACCCACAGACAAGAGAGAAAAGATGGGTGTCGTGGGCTGCCAGGGTCTGGGCTGTGTACCCAGCAGCATTACTATAGTCACGGCTGGGTGTGCAGAGACCAGCTATCTATCCATTCACCAGATCCTGTCCACTCCAGGCTATGCTCAGACACGCGATAGCCTCCTTCCTTTGACCTGATATGATCAGATTTGCCCACTCCACAAATTCATTCCTAATAGTAAGCATCTTATAATTTCACCCTTTAAAAAAACCCTGTCCTGCCCACATGCTCCTACAGCTACTACCCCACCCTTAGGCAAAACTCCTCTACAGAGCTGCACAATCTCACTCTTATTCTTCTCCTTCCACTTTCCCTTGGACCCACAGCAGTTATGCTGATATTCTACCACCCAAGTTACTCTCATATTAGACCTTTCAACGAGGAAGAAAGGTCTCTGCAAAAATGGTGCTGGGAAGATTAGATTCCATATACAAGAGAATGAATATGAACCTTCCTGTACACCATGGACGAGAATTAGCCAAAGAGACCCACAACCTAAATATAAAACCTAAAACTACAGAATGCCTAGAAGAAAACACAGGTGAACAGCTTATGATACTGGATTCAACAGTCATTTCCTGGATATGACACAAAAAGAATAAGAAACAAAAGTGAAAATAAATAAGCAGACTATAACAAAATGAAAAACTACAGTGCATCAAAGGAAACAATAGAAGAGAAAGAAAACCTATGGAATGGGAAAACATTGGCAAGTCATACATCTAAGAAGGGGTTAATATCTAGAATATGTGAAGAACAAGTCAACAATGAAAAAACCCAAAAGAACTGTTAACAAGATCTGGAATAGATGTCTGCACATCCACATTCACAGCAGCACTGTTCACAACAGTCCAGGTGGAAGCAACCTGGACGTCTGTTGCAGAATAAACAGATAAACAGAGTGTGGTTACATACATACAATGAAACACCTTCCCAAAAGGTCAAAAAGCCCATTACAAATAAGAACGAGTTCATTTACAACAAATAAATGTCCAAGCTGAAAGTAACAATGACTTGACCAAGTGATGACAGACTTAAAAATGAAGGCATCATTCAGCAGAAACGGCCATGGACGTCTGTATTGCTTCATTCTGCTTGATCAGCTATGGCTGAGCAGTAATGACAGAGACTTTATGGCCCACAATGCTTAAGCTGTTTACTTTCTGCCCCTTTGCAAAAACTGTCAATCCTTGCTCTGTGGAGGCTGCTCTGTCCTGTAAGGTGCCCCCATGAGGAAGATGAGAGATGGCATCAACCAACTTCACGTGAACACGCATGGGTGAGAAGTACACTTCTGCTCTTATACCACCAGGATTTGGGGACGTTTGCACACAGCATAACTGAGCGTATTCTGACTGATTCAGAAATTCCAGCTGGGCGCAGCTTACATGATAGATACTACTGGGTGTTGCTGCCTTCCTCTTGCCTCACCATTCACTCCTTTCTGGTCACTGTGTCTTTTATTTCTCTGACCTCTGAATACCTGAGTGCCACAGGGCACAGGGCCTGGACCTCTTCAGTCTATGTTCATTACCCTGGGGAACTTTCCCAGTTTCATAACTTTAACAACATCTATATGCCGATGATTTCCGATATTCCCAGTCTCGACCTCTCTCTAAACTCACAAGTCACGTAACTGCCTAAGTAAAATCTCCTTTGGTTAAAATGAGACTTTTGGATATAATAAGCATAACAAATATAACATGGCCCAATCAATATCCTGATCTTCTATCCAGACTTCCTGCAGACAGTCCATCAGCGTAAATGCTACCTCCATCCGTGACTGTTTGGCCAAGCTACGTTGTGCCATCCTTAACCCTTTCCTCTCCCCCCTTTTCACACTCATCTGATGAGCATATCCTACTGCCCTCCCTTCACTATCCATCAGCATCTGACTCCATCTCATACCCTATATCTCGTATGGTCATCTGCATGTTCTGCCCTACCTGTTTCCTGGCTGTCCCTACCTCCCAGGTCTGCTCGGTCTACTCTCAGCACAACAGCCATGGTTGCTCTTCAAACGTGACAGGGCCACCTCTGCTCAACCCCTCAGTGTGTTTCACTCTGTGTTAAAGCCTGGGTCCTGTTCAGTCTGCCTGCCCTCTTTTCCTTCCATCTACATCTTCTACCACTCCTTTCCCCAGATCATCACCCTGTTGGTCCCAACAGGTATCACATGGCTGCCATGAAGCTTGTGCCCTCGTGGTTCACCTGGCTGGAATGACTCAGCCTGTGCATTGGAGACCCAGGCATTCTTCTCGTCTTGGCTCCAGTGACACCTCTGTGGCTACTCCCTCCCACTCGATTTAAATTACAACCATTCCTTTTGTGTTCTTTCTTTCATAGCACTCATCACTCGTGACCTATCATATATTTCACCTGTTTATTCACTGTCTCCCCTGACAGAGCAAGTCTCTCCAAAGGCAGGGATAGTTCCTGTCTTCCTTCAGAGCCACCTCCCTTGAGCCCACAATGGTGCCTCAACACACTACAGACACATAGTACTTGCTGAATGAATGTATGAACCCAAAATTCTAAGTCACAAACTAATAAACCAGGCGCATGGATTGAAGAAGGAGCACTGCCCTGATGATAAAGGTGCATGCAGTTTTAGGAAGACACTTTCTTTTTCTCACTTTCAGCGAGGACTAAATCTGACCTTTTTCTCTCTTACCCAGACTCCTCATTAAGAGGCTTGAGGAGTCATGTCTGACAAGGACTCACTAGAGAGGGTTTTATTACCCTATCACCCCATATACTAAAGTTTGTTTTCCAACTCTAGCATAACATCACAAAACAAATAAAGAAGGAAATAAAAGTATTTTATGATTCTGCAAAGTCATTTTTTGGGGACTCCAAAAACCTTGTGAGACACTTACCGATCCTCTCTGAAGTCTGTCACATATAGGACTTCATCTATATCAACAAACCTGGAGTTTCCCCCCTTCCCCATATCTCAACAAAACATCTACTTTACTGATTTCCAAAATTTCTTAGGGGCTACAAATTACTAGTCAATAAATCTTTGAATTAACTGTGACTTGTAAGCCCCCGCTTGGAAATGTCCCCTCCTCCTATGTCAAACCAATGAAAATCTCACATGTATTGATTTATGGCCTAAGTCCTCAAGTTTGGTTCAGAGTAAACCATCTTAAAATAATTTACAGAGTTTGGCATCTTGCTGTCAACAACAGCAAAGGAAATAACATACAGAAATCACGAGGGCTACAATTTAACAAATTATATTTAGAGCCCCTGGACTGAAGCCTTCTTTTCAAAATTACAGGGTTTTATTTTTGTTTTTGTTTTTCCTATTTCAACACTTCACTATCAAAGAAGAATTTTACCCCAGGGAGTATATCTGTGTGACTACCAGCTTCCTAAGAAATGACTAAGACAGTCAACTATGAAAACAGAAAACAATACATTCAAGGACAACTCAGACCAGGTTTTGGAATGCCAGTGCATGGAGTTTAGCTCCACCTTCACCAACTGCCTTCCACATGTATCAATCTTTCTCCAAACTAAAAAAAAAATTAAATTAATTCCTATGCCAAAGCTCAGATATTAGTAAAAACAATCATTTATCAAGTCAATTCTTTTGGAAGAGGAGACAAATACAAAAAAGAGCTAGCAGTATCTACAGATAAGACCCACTGAATGGACCTTGTTTACTCACCACACAGACAACACACGTCTCCCAGCCACGAGAACAACAACATGCTAAACTAAGACAAGCAGCTCTCATTGTCACTTGATGCATGACATGAACTTAGTCACTAGCCTTGGGAATAACATGTGTTGCTTCAGTTAACCAAGATTAAATCTTATTTTAAACCAGCACATTTTCCAACAAGTCTACCCCAGAATTATTTTGCTAAGGGGAAAAACCCCACACAAAACTAAAAGCATCTAGAGACAATAATCCACTCTCTACTTTAAGTGCTAAGTGTGACATCTACCATGCCTTTGGAGGTGCCTTTGGTCACTCCTGTCCCCAAGGAGCTCATTATTTGTGTTCCAGCAGAGGTGGCACTGACAGTACGGACTTCCTTGTGAAGAATTTCCTCTGTGGGAGCTCAGTGGATACTTACACATCCACATCCCACTAATGGGCATGTCCTGCATGCTGTGGCAAGGCCACTCTGCTCACCCGATTGGAGTCTCCACTCTCTGTGACTAACAAGCATGTTCTACACACCGGGGTAAAGCCATTCTGCTCACCCAAGTAGAGTCTGCAACTAACGGGTGTGTCCTGCACACTGACAAGGTCACTCTGTCCACCTGAGTGGAGTCTCCACTGTCTGTGACTAGCAGTGTGTCCTGCATGCTGGAGCAAGGCCTCTCGCCCCGCCCCCCACCCCCCCGCCCCGGGTGGAGTTTCCACTGCCTGTGACTAACAGTGTGTCCTGTACGCCAAGGCAAGGCCACTCTGCTCACCCAAGTGGCATCTCTCCACTGCCTGTGACTAACAGTGATGGTTCTTCAATACTCACCAAGTCCCAGGAGGTCCACAGTGGGCTCTGCAGCCTTCTTGGGGCTGGGGCTTTTCTTAGGCTCTTGTTGCTGATCTTCTTTCTTCTGCAGCTTGAAAGCAAAGAATCAGATTTATTAGTTGTTCTTAAACACAATGAACAAGTCTTTTAAGCCCCAATTACTGACAGAGTTTGATAAAGTGATGTGAGAAGCCTAGGATATTTTTTATTATATGAAAAACAAGTAGACATGATCATTTAACTCACAAAGCCCATCCTCTAACAGTGACCCCTAACAGTGAATTGCAAATTCCACTTTCATGGAGATGTTCTCAGTCACGGACTCTCCTGTGTGAGGTGACATAGGGAAGATATGTCATGTGACTGCCCAGCTACGACTCCTGTCAGTCGAGGATGGGGAGCCTGACATCCTCATGAGTAGGCACTCATCACTTACATGCCACATGACATGGGACCCCGACCCAGAGAAGTCCCATGAAATACAGGTGGTATATTCCCTCCTGAGTCTACACGGCTCATTACTCCTGAAATATCATGTTCTTCTACTTCTCAGGAGCCAAAATCACATCTACATGTTCCAAACTCTCTCTCACAAAAAACCAAGTGAAGGACAGGATGAAAAGACCTGAACCCACTGAAGTCTCAACTCCAAAGCCTACCTCTCCTAAACTAAAAAAATAAAACATTCATTCAGCCACTTATTCATCTCCTAAACCATTCCTTCGAGGTCACTTCTATAACTACCTGAAGAATTCACAGGTAGTGAATTTTTTCTACTACTGTCTCCCTTGAAATTATTTTTTTACCAGTTAGCTTACCATCACAGACACCGATTCTTTAATAACCCTCTTAAATACAGACTTATCATCCTGGAATTATATTTAATTTTCCAAAGTTTAACATAATCCATTTCACATTCTCTACGCTTTTAATTTTTGACCTCCAATATAAGTTAAGATTTATCTTGCTTAGCAAAAGGATTTCAAAATAATTTCAAAGAAAGCACAGTAGTAACTTTGGTAGTAACAAAGAAACTCTGGTAGTAACAAAATAAGCAGTACCTTTCAGTTGATTACTTAAACAGCTAGAACGTGCTTCCTTTTATTTCTTTATGTACTGGACCACCTGTGTTACTATTAACATCCAAATCTGCAGGGAATCTAAGGACCAAGTGGCCCTGAACACATAAGAAGTCACACTCCAGGCAGGACCTGGCAGCTTTCTGGGCAGGTCTTTTCGGTCATGTCTCTGCCTGTGGTACTCTCGAGGGGGTCTCATGCTTTGCAGGCACTTACAAAACCAAATCTCTGATTTGGTTTGAGATCAGGAAATCTTAACATTGAAAACAAACTTAGATAATATAACCACACTCATTCATTCTACAAATTAACTGAAGCTTAGATACAATCTGCCAAATAGGAACCCAGGAACTAAAACTCTTACCATATATTTTACTGAATCTTCTTCCATGGAAAGAAGCAAGGGACAAACCAGGCAGGTGAGGGACTCCTCTTTCCTAGTCACTTTCTAAGGTCTAAGCATCTAGAACCTTTTAGGCTGAAATAATTTTTTTCTTTAAATTCAAATCCAAACTAAGTTTATAAGGTATCGTCTGCCACCAAACTAGAACTACCTTTTAAAATACTGCTGAGTATGAAATTATCCTTCATTGTCCGAAAAAGGGAGAAAAAACCAAACCAAACCATGGTAGAGGTTCTCTTGTCATCTCGACTCCCACCCTAGATCCCCTGCAGCGAATGCAAAAATCATCTTTCTTTTCAGATGTGCACAAACCTACCTATATCCTAATTCAATGGCATCACAATACAGAGAACACAGGTATAGTTATGCAGGGCAAAGGGAAACATTAAGAATTAGTTTCTCAAATTGCAGCTGTGGCCCACAGCAGCTTTGGAAATCTATTTTACGGACCACAACTAAAACTTTTTTAGCACATAAAGGAGATGAAATAAAATAGAAAACAGAGCACACTGCACAAGATAAAGGTCAGGTGCTCATGAACTATTTTATTTTACACACTTGTACATTTTGTGAGCAAAGGCGTAGATCACAACATGAAATCCATTTCTCACCCATGAGGCAGGCAAGAAACACCTCTACCTCTACTCCTACAATGGGCCAAATTACAAGTGAGAAGCATCTAATTCACTATCCAAACAATTGGTTATTCTAGGCAAAGTTCAACAATTCAGACATGAATTACCCTTAGAGTTGGCATCTGTTAGATTATCCCACAAATCGCAAAAGCAAAAGAGGTGGTCACTTGGAAAGCTACCTTCTGTCCCTCCATCCTCAATCTTGCTGAGTATAACCTGAACACATTGCTGTGTGGCAGAGTTAACTTTAGAGATTACTCTTCTGTGTCTTCAAATGATCAAAGTGCTACTTTATACATACTAGTGAAAGCCAAACAGACTGAATTCAAATGACACTCTTTACTCATAGGTGCAAACGTAAGAAATCAACCTCATGGTTTTTAAATGTTCAAGGACAGACACATCAAAGCACCAAACTACACAGGTAAGAAATCTTCCTAAAATTCTAGACATAAATTTCAATAAAAATTGAAAATTAATTTGTATAATTATTCTTACAGATCTCCATGAAAAATGATAGGGAAAAAGTATTTATTTCCCTAGTCCTAATAACAAAAGTATACAAGGGAAGGGAGGGAGGAGGGGAAGGATCGAAAAATTACCCATTGGGTACCATGTCCACGCCCTGGGTGACGGGCTCAATAAAAGCACAAGTCTCACCATCATGCAATAAACCTATGCATCAAACCTGTAAATGTACCCCTTCAATCTAAAAAATTAAGGCCCCCCCAAAAGACATATAAAAATATAGACCTCAGTGACACTGTGGTCTGAAGATAGCCCCCAAAGTTTATGTGTTAAAACCTTAGTCCCCATGCCATGTCCTGGGAGGTGGGGGTCTAGCAGGAGGTGATGAGATCACAAGGGTTCTGCCCTTACAGTTGGATTACTATCATTACTACAGGAAGAGGTGAGTCCCCAGAGTGAGTTCAGCTGCCTTACCCTTATGTACTCTTGCCCATGCATCTTCACACACAGGACAACCACACAGCTCCAAGGCCCTTGCCAGATGCTAGTACCTTTCTCTTGGACTTCCCAGTCTCCAGAACTGTAAGCCAAATACACTGCTGTTGTTTATACATTACTCAGTCTGTGGTATCCTGTTATTACAGCACCAAATGAAGACAAAGGATAAAGAAAAACCTTTGCATATTCAGTAAGTCCCCTACATAAAAACCTTCAAGTTGTGAACTTTCAAAGATACGAATGTGTGTTCACGTGTCTAATCATATAAGTCAGTTCACATGTCTGGCACACATTGTCATATGCATGCATTCTCTACATACAAGTGATTATGCATCTCTGTACTTTACTATACAGTACTATTTCTTGAAAAATATTATAAACCTATTATAGTACAGTACTATATAGTCAACTGTATTAGTTAGGTACCTAGGCTAACTCTGTTGAACTTTCGAAAAAATTGGACTTATGATGTGCTCTTGGAATGGAACTAGTTTGTATGTAGGGACTTACTGTATACTGCCATGATGAGAGTTCAGAAAAAACCTAAAATATGCAAGCCTCTAAAACAAAGATATATAGACTCCATTAAAAAAAAAAAAAAACCTAGGTGTTGTGCTTTATTCCATTGTATTATACAATTAAACTCAATACTATCACCAATAAATCGAGGGAGTCCAAAGCCCATTTCAAAAAAGGCCTATTTCTAGTCCCTAAATCAAGTCCACCGCTAGGTCTGCCTACTACTGCCAATTATACACAAAGACAAGATAGCTATTCAGTTTCTGACTGAGGAGGAAGATCATAGATGGCCTGAAATACTGGAGCAGGAAGAGGTAGTTGAAATGATAAACCTCCTTCCTCTGCCACATTGTATAATCCAGCATTTCAAAATCAAATCTCATGAAATGAGACAGGAAGTTCAGAGTAATTTTCTTCTTCTTCTTCTTCTTTTTTTTTTTTGAGTTGGAGTCTCTGCCGCCCAGACTGGAGTGCAGTGGCCACTCCTGGTCACCGCAGCCTCAACCTGCTGGGCTCCGGCAATCCTTCCGTCTCAGCCTTCCGAGTAGCCGGAATTACAAGCGCGCACTACCACACCTGGCTAATTTTTTGATTTTATTGTAGAGATGAGGTCTCGCCTGCCCAGGTGGGTCTCAAACCCGCGGGCTCAGGCAATCCACTCACCTCAGCCTCCCAAAGGCGGGATTACAGGCTGAGCCACCGAGCCCGGCTTAGTAATCTTCTTCTTATCCCTTAGTGCTATATCTGTAGCAACAAAGCAATGTGATCACCTTTAAATAGCTTGAGTTATTCAAGGAGACAGCAGCAGTACCTGGAGTTGTCACATGCAAAGCCCTGACCTGTAGCCATCCTGAAGTCCACTTGGTTCTACAACACAGCACTTAACTGTTGTTCTTTCTTTACTTATAATACACCAGTGCTAATTTTCTTTCTTTTCTTATTTTTCTTTCCAAGTTGGAGTCTTACTCTTGCCCAGGCTGCAGTGCAGTGGCATGTCCCTGGCCACCACAGCCTCAACCTGCTGGGTTCAGGTGATCCTTCTGCCTCAGTCTTCCAAGTAGCTGGAACTATAGGCACATGCCACCATGCCCAGCTAATTTTGTTTTTTATTGTAGAGATGAGGTCTTGCCAAGTTGCCCAGGTTGGTCTTGAACCCATGGGCTCAGGCAATTCTCTCACCTTGGCCTCCCAAAGTGCTGCGATTATAGGCATGTGCCACTGCGCCCGGCCAGTGTTAATTTTCAAAGAGCTATAATCAGATCTCCAAACTATATTCCAATTAAACACTCTCATTAACAAACCGTGTGTATGACAGATAATGCCATCCTGAAAAACTCTTCCAACATGAAGATATCTTCAAGGGCATGTCTTACTCTTTCCAAGTTTCCTATAACTCAAAGAGTCATTTTTATCAACTATTTTCTGTTGGGAGCCGGCCTGAGCGTTAGGGATCCAGGCAGGCTGCGGACCCTGAGACCACTAGGTTGAG